ACAAATCAATATCTAGGGAATTTTTAGATATTTCAATTATGTATATGTGAATTTCAAAATTGAAATTGAATTTATTCTATTGAGGTCTAAGAAAGAATCAAAGTAGCCGTCCTCAACTTCCTCAAGATCTTGAACTCTTCGACTCTGACAATCTCATGTCTCTCTGGTTTGCAATTTTGCTTCAAATCTATACTCTCGAAATGTGTATATCTGTGTGTGTGAATTAAGTATTGAATCACTGTTGATTTTAAGTAGATGACTTTGGAGATTTTTGAGTGTGTTACAAATTGATAGAAGATGAAGTAATAGAAGAGTGAGTTAGGGTTTGTTGATTGATGTTTCGTGGATTTTTCTCTCATTCGTTTTGCACGAGGTCTTTGATGAGAGTTAACACTGCTCAATCCTTCATCAGAGGTAATAATAGGTTCATCATCATCTCTCTTTCTCATTTTCCTTCTTAATCTTATCTTTCTTAAAAAATTTCAGACTCACTGATATAGATACAGATACAGAAACAGATACAAACAAAGGCTCCTTTTGCTTCTCCCAAAAATGTGAATTTGTAATTTTTTACACAGTCTAATTTATAATTTTAATTTAATTTTATGTTCATTTATTTCATTAATGCTTGTATCCTTCAATTTAATTTTGGCCATTCCATTTTTGTTTCTTTTCTTCAATTTAGTATAAATTAGGCCTCTGTGTGTTTGATTATCTTGAATTGTTTATTGTTTATGTTGAATTAGTGTGTTGTTTTGTGTTTTGGATATCTAATTAGGGTCTTTTATTTGTGTTTTGAACATATTTAAGGTTCTATTATTTTTAGTGTGATTTTATTGTTTATGTTGAATTAGTGTGTTGTTTTGTGTTTTGGATATCTAATTAGGGTCTTTTATTTGTGTTTTGAACATATTTAAGGTTCTATTATTTTTAGTGTGATTTTATTGGCAGAGGAGAATGGGATTATACACCTGATCAGACTGGGGATCATAAGATGTTCATCATGCTCTTTTTCATGTTGCATATTATTTTTGGATACCTTTTGATTTTTTTTTTTATATTAATTATATATAAGCAAATGATGATTTATATCATATGTTTGTGGCAATGCTTTGTTTGAACTTTCATATGCAAAGAATGCCTTTCTCCTATAGGGCAGAACTTTTGTCTTGTTTGAACACTTGAACATGGCACCTATGTATAATGACATCTTGTTCCTCCTAATGAGATTTCATTCATGATTCTTCATTCTGCTGTTCTAATAGGGCTAATAATTATGACAACGAAATGAAATTTGTTTAGTCGTCACGCCTCCATGTAGATGTATCAATTTGTATTAAATTTAATTGGTTGACATCTTATTTGACCATAAAGTGAGACTATTATAGTGGATGTTATTAGACTTTTGTTGGCCACAGATTATTTTTATGTATTTCGTCAAACAATTAGAAATTAGAGCTGTAATACTTCTATCATCATTTTATACCAGCGTTGTCCAGCTTGTTACTTCATTTCACTTCTTGAATGCTATTAAGTTTCACTAAGTTTTGTGCTTATTAGAATGACAATGGAGAATCGAAGTCTGCTGAATCTGGCAAATCGCATTCTAAGGTCCATGATGAAGCTACACAAGAAGTGAGCTCTTAGGTACGGCTTTACGGCTTTTCATTAATTCTCAACGGGGTGTGTGTGAATATGTATTCTCAATTATAGCTTGAAATTATCATACTGTATTTCTTTCTCTTGGAAAAACTAAACTAATGATTTAAATATATTATCAATATAAATGATGAGAGACCCACTATATGTATTTCTTCTCTCTTTTTTCTATTTCTACATGTATATATGTTTTAAATATTGGAATGTTGCTATGGAAAAATGCAAAAAATCATGTGGTTAGATGGCATTATAACATAAATCAGAATTTGCAGGATGTAGATTGGATAGACAGGTTGGCTTTGCAACATGTTAATCTCTATGCAGGATATAGATTGTTTAAAATCATGGCTCTCCTAAAAGCCTTTTATCTGGCCTCTTCCTAAAGATTGTTCCTCTTATTGATCACATTAGAGGTAACCCTATTTCTCTTCCCTCATCCAGTATGGAAGAACATTTATGGCCCAATAGTTCTGATATATGCACCTTAAAAAGTAGTGAATTCATTTAGTTTTTATCAGTACCACCTATATGTATTTATTATTCTATAATCTCAAATCTAATTAGGACAATGAGTAACATTTTCATACATATTTACTACTTTGGGAAAATCTCTGGTGTGCTTGATTTTATGAAAATCAATGGAATAGGGTCAGCCTTGATTAGCATTTTCAAGTCTGATAAATTTTATGGGATTATAATCTTTGCAACATGACTAGCTAGACTCTCGAAGAGTTTTATTAGTCAGTTTTTTTTTATTATTATAGTTATTTTACATGTAATGATTTGACAGTAGGTAATAGCCAAACATAACTTCAGCATTTCTTGTACAACCACCCTATGGCTAGAATAACTTTGGGAGAACATCAAAAAATTGGAGGGTAGAAAAAATAATTTCAAAATGATACTTACACAATCTAATCCATGAATCATTTGTATTTCCATCACGTTGAAATTATTTTTCTTTCTCATCACTTTTGTGATATTCTCCCAATAACTTTAGCAATTCTTTTGAGTGTTTACTATAGCTTTAGCAATTCATATAGTTGCGTTTTAAGGAAATGCATAATTTGAATTCCATATAATATATTTTTGTGATACACAGGTAAACAATGTATTATTACATTGGAGGATTGGGTATTGAAATTAGATTGGAAGATCCAAGGATTTGAAGAAAGTGGGAAGGGGAGATGTGCAACTAGACTTTTTGTTGGCATGGATTTTAAATTACTCCTCACTCATATAAACATTTCTATGGATCTCTCTTAAATTTGTATGTATGCTATATTGATTCTAAAATCAAATCTGTACTCCTCAGGTGACTAGTCCTAAATATATTGGAGATAGTCTATTAAGTTGAGACCATTGAGATGTATTATGATATCTAGATTAGTGTTTGGTGGAACAAATGAACTTTTTGTTCCTTTTGAAAAAAATTGGTGTATTACCTCTACAAATCAGTGAATATCCAGGGTACAATTTTATTCGTCTAATATGTGGCTCTGCAAGTGATACTAAAAAATGGTTGTAGAAGGTAATTTTTATATGATGACATTATGCCTCAATGCTGTGTTGTTTTAGATTTTTGATTTAATCTATGGCTGATGTATGCTAAATAGAAATTTTATGTTGAATGCTGTCAGTTTTTTCATTAACTTTCATTTAAATGTTCAAATCAGGAAACAGGAGCTAAAGTTCAAGTTTATGGTACCAAAGCAGATACAGGAGAGAAGGTAATTGTTTTAAAAAAAAATATTTACACTGTTTTGATAGTCAGACATAAACCTCTACTTCATTTAACAACCCCCCTTCCTCATATTCGTTTAAATATTTTTTCCCTTTTCATATGTCTTACATCTGAAATATCTACCCTGAATTGTTTACTCTGTTGTTCATATGATTTGCATAATGGTACAACCTAATGTTCACCAAGCTCGATTAACCACTTTCCATCCTTTTCCTTATTAATACCCATGGTGAAATTACACCATCAGATGAAAATGAAGCTCTTATTGCTTATGCAGAGTTATACATTCATATATCTGCTGACACATATGAGAAGGTTGATGCTTCAATTTCCCTAATTGAACTACTTGTCACCCCAGTTTCGGTAAGTGTCAAGATTCTCAACCTAATTCATGGAATCGAAAAGTATAGATTTTCTAATCAATTTTCATTTTTGTCGTATTGATTGATTAGAGGTCAATGTTGATGAATGAAATTGATGGTTTTTATTGGAATGTATGTTTGCAGTTCACCTACATTGCATCAAAATTCAAGGACAAAACAACTAGACAATGCCGAAGAAGGTTTAAACATAGCTGTACCTATGGCCTGAATGCAAGTTATAAACTTAATATTCTCATATATGAAAGGCATATTATGTAAATCTAGTTACATGAGTTTGTAGAGGCATGTGCTTGTATCATGACTTATGAAATACATATTATGTAAATCTGGTTATATTATTTAGATTTTTTAAAGAATTTTGTTAGGTGCTTATACCCGAAAGAAATGATGTACGATGTTTATAATAAAAAATTATTTGCGACAATTAAAAATTCATTGCTAACAAGCTATTATTGTACTATTTATAAATGTCATTGAAAACTATTTGCGACGGTAACAAAATGGTTGCCAAAAAACCTGTTAGAAATTTTTCTTTATTTTTTGCGACGGCAAAATAACAGTTTCCATAAGTAGTTTAGGTGGTCGCAAATAATTTGCGACTGCTGCTTTGCCACTGCTGCTTTGCCGTCGCAAAAAAGTATTTGCCACCCCCACATTCGCGTCTCTCATTTGCAGTCGCACGGGCCGTCGCAAAAGGACTTTTGCGACTGTATTTTTATTATTTGCGACGGTTTGTGATAGTCGCAAAAAGTACTTTTTCTAGTAGTGTACATAGTGTTGAAAAATTAGGACCGCATGGGTAAAAAAAATATGTGAGACTTTTTTTTAATTTTTTTATAACCAAGTGTTCGAACCAGTATCCTTTCGAAGTGTTGCACCTTGACTAATCTCGGGTCCTAAGCTGATCGACTGGGCAAAGACGAAGTGGCCCGCCAGTAGCCAACTGGGGGTGGGATTCGAACCTGAGACCTAGTAAGGAGCATATTCCTAAGTCCCTGGTCCCTTGCCCTCAACCAACTAAACTACCCTTACGGGTTAAGTACGTGAGACTTAGCCTAGCAAAGGCTTCACAAACAGGACTTGTATGTAATTAATCCTTTAAAAAATAATGAAGATTAACCTGAATTTAGGTGAAACAACTATGATAGCAAAACAATAAAGTTGATGGCAATTGTAAGGAGATAAGTAATTAAAGGTTTCAACTTAATAGTCACCTGAATCCAGGAATGTAGACACTCCTTGCAGCCTCTAACACTAGACTTGTTTGGCGTTCTTGTAATTCAAAAATGTGCTTGCCCTCTTCAAAACTGCTCCCAAAAGCCGTTCGAGATAAGATGTCTGCAGAAAGGTTATGAATTTGTTTGTGCACCTCTAACTCGAATTCATCCCTACATCCTCTTTCTTCCTCCCACTTTTGGAGCATATTTATGGTACTAGCCACAATTTCCGACACCCAACCCTATCATAAACAGTATCAAATTAATAATATTGATCACAGAGCTCATGTTATGTAGCACTCTGTACTTCCTGTTATAATGGAATTATATTTGACTCTTTGATTATCTTGATTTTAGACATTTTTAGTTGATATTTGAGCCTTGGTTGAGGTGTTACCATAGTAGTCGGGTGAGATTGAATCAAAAACTCCAAATTCAAATAGTTGCCATTGAGTAGTCTTCACTCTTTTATCATTTTCCCTCTCCATACTTTGAATCTTGATATGAGGCTAGAACTATTGGAAAGCTTACTTCCAAGGCTTTAATTTTGACACAAGCTTACTTACGGAAATCTCCTAAACCACTTTTGGAAAGCTTACAATCCCCTCCCTAAGGTTTAAAGTAATATTACCAATTGCCCCCTCGGTTAGTATTAGTTGGAAAAAAAATTCATTGAAAAATGAATATTAATTGGAAAAAATTAATTGAAAAAATAATTTTGTTAGAAAAATTTGTAAATTTTTGTTTAAAAACTAACGTAAACTCATTTTTTGCATTTACGGTTTTTCCTCAAGTTTACAAATTGAGACAACCATTTATAAACCAAAAAAATTATCAAACAAACTTTTATGACAGTTTTTTTTAATTTTTGTAAATGTAAATTGAAAACTGAAAACAAAATGGTTACCAAACAGGGTCTCAAATGGTAAAAATATCTTAAAATTAACAAATAATTAAATAAGTTACCAACGTAAAAAATGACTTATCAAAAAATTCTTAGGCTATGTATGGTTTGATTTTTAGAATTTTTTTAAAAAAAATTAAAAATTAATTTGGTTAAGAAATAAAAAAATATTTTTTAAACGAAATGAAAATTATTTTTTTATTTTTTCATTTCTTAACCAAATTAATTTTTAATTTTTAAAAAAAATTTCTAAAAATCAAACCATACATAGCCTAAAAATATTTTGATAAATCATTTCTTATGTTAGTAACTAATTTAATTATTTGTTAATTTTACGATATTTTTACCATCTAAAACTTACTTGGTAACCATTTCGTTTTCATTTTTCAATTTATATTTACAAAATTTTAAAAAACTGTCATAAAAACTTGTTTGATAATTTTTTTGGTTTATAAATGGTTGTCTCAGTTTATAAATTTGAGGAAAAAACGTAAATTCAAAAAATAAGTTTACGTTGGTTTTTAAATAAAAAAAATTAAAATTTTACTAACAAATTTTTTTTCAATTAATTTTTTTCCAATTAATTTTTTTTTCAATGAATTTTTTTTCCAACTAATACTAACCAAGGGGGCAATTCATAGCCTAAGAATATTTTGATAAATCATTTCTTATGTTGGTAACTAATTTAATTATTTGTTAATTTTACGACATTTTTACCATCTGAAACCTACTTGGTAACCATTTCGTTTTCAGTTCTCAATTTATATTTACAAAAATTTTAAAAATTGTCATAAAAACTTGTTTGATGATTTTTTTGGTTTATAAATGGTTGTCTCAGTTTATAAATTTGAGGAAAAAACGTAAATTCAAAAAATAAGTTTACATTGGTTTTTTTAAAAATAAAATTTAATTTTACTAACAAATTTTTTTTTCAATTAATTTTTTTCCAATTAATTTTTTTTTCAATGAATTTTTTTTCCAACTAATACTAACCAAGGGGGCAATTGGTAATATTATTTTAAACCTTAGGGAGGGCATTGTAATTTCTAAAATGTGAGAGGTGTCAATGTAATTTACCCAATGAGGGTAAAATTGGTATTTAAAAAAATTGAAAGGGTTGAGCGGGGAATCTGTAATGAAACTTTAAACCTCAGAGGGGGGAGATGTAATTTCCAAAAGGTGAGAAGGGAACTGTAATAAACATAAACCTCAAGGAGTGTCAGTGTAATTTATCCTAAAAATAATGATGTACAATCAAGAAGGCTAAAAATGTGAGAGAGAGGAGTGTGAGGAGTGAATCGTGTCATTTTAAGTGAAATTGAAAGGTGAAATTGAAATTACAAAAAAAAAATAAAATAAAATAACACCACTATAAATGGTGAAGATCTCACAACCCCATTTGAATCTCCACCATTGATGTTTGAGATCTCTATTTTTTGAAGACCCATACAATCCTTTTTGAATCTCCACCATCAATGTATGCATGGGACCTACTCATGTACGTGTGGGGCCCACACTATCAATGGTGGAGATCCAAAGGGGATTGTGGGGGTCTCTAAAAAATAGGGGTCTATCATTGTTGTAATTAGTTTGTGAATCCCACCTCCATATTGGGAATATGCTAATCTCACATTTTGGAGATTAGTAATTCTATAAAACTTTTAGTCCCTTTTGTGTATTTTTTAAGTAAATCAGATTTGGGTTTGGCTGAGCGTTTAGATTTGATAAATTCAGTTTGAAATTAATTTGTGTGATTCGAATCATTACTTTTTTTTGCTCTTTAAATAGAATATTTATGTAAAAAATCAAGATGATTTGATATCGGTAGCTATTAGGACCGACCTTGGGCATAGGCCCACCAGGCTATGACTTAGGGCATTTCAAAATAGACCCAAAAAATGAGTTCCTTCTATTATAATTTAGTGTAATATATTAGGTATGATTTAAGTTCAAAAAAAAAATTAAAAGGCCCAAATTAACTTAAAATAAATTGACCCATTAAAAGACTAAAAGACCAATTAAAAAAATTTCGTAAAAGGTTGTATTGGTTTAGGAGATTTACCCATTTTATTTATTATCATTTTGGTTTCGGAAAGAAATGATTTTAAATAGTTTTAGCAATTTATTTGCTGTTAGTTAACGATATATTCGTATTAGAATTGGCAATGAAATTAGTAGTTGGTATTGAGATACCTGGATTGACTTGTGGAAATGGATTTTTATATCAAACTAATGTATTGAATTCAGAAAATGTTTTAAATAAACGAAAGGTTTGGAAGACTGGAAAAAAAGGGTTTTATTGAGAAACAAAATGGATTTGAGAATGCATTGAGCATATTATATACGTATGTATTGCATTTATGATCATTTACACTGGTAGAGCATATTTAGTTTTTGAAATATTTCCTATTAGGTTTTATGCTCACCCTACGTGGCTGAAATTTTTTTCAGGTATACTTATGCAGATGTGGACTAAGACATTGAAGTTGTGTTTAGAACCGTACAAAGTGGTTTCTTTATTTGTCGGCCAAGAGCCATATATGTATTTGTTAGCCGTGTGCCATTCTTGTAAGGGTTACACCCATTGTATATGATGTAAGCCTTTGAGCATTTTAATTTGATTTATAATATCTTTGTATGTTTTTGTTACAACGCATCCATTTGGCATAGATGTTGTATCTACGAATGTATAAAATTAAAATAACACATGTAGTGTGTGCTTAAATTACATACATCTGCATGAGAGTTGTTAGTGATCATTTATCGTTAAGTGATTTACTCGTGTGTGCTGGATCTCGTAAATCCGGGGCGTGACATGTTAAATTTGCATTAGAATTGCATTGGACTAGTGGCAAAATATTTTTGCAAAATGTTTAGCCAAGCCTACCTCTCAAGTTCATCCCATCTGCTTCTAGTTATTTTTTTTATTATTATTATTTTTTTTTTAACTTTCATTTTCTAGAGTCCTTTTATTGTCTTCTAACTAAACTAGAAAAATGGCAGTCACTATATGCACATATATATTTGGTCAGTCGGTAGAAGACTAAAATTATATATATATATATATATATATATATATAAAGAGCTTAAGGTCACTGGTAAATGAATGATACATCAAAATTATTCTTATACAAATAAAATTATCTTGTTACCAAGGATTCTCTCTAAAATAAAGAAATTTGAAATAGAAATTGCATTCTCATTTTTTGTTTAGAATATTTTTAATTCTATTTTTTAAAAATTTTACAGAGCTATACCGACTCGAATGGTAGTGTATTCTTTTTTTTTTTTTTTTTTTTCCATAATATTTTCTGCCATAATATCCTCACACACAAAAGCGCATTTTAGAATTATTTTTTTGGATAAATTACACTTTGTCCTTTTTATGTTTGATTATTTTTTTACTTTAGTCCAAAGTTTTTTTTGGCTCCACTTTGGCCTTTTATGTTTCAAGTTTTTTTCAATTTACTCTAAAACTAACTTATGTTATAAATTATAAAAAACATGACACATTGACAATTATGTAACATAGAAATATTTTATTATTTATAACTCATAACCCTGATATAATAATATTGTTTTTATGTCATGTGGCAATTAATGTAACATGTTTGTATAATTTTGTATAAAAGTTAGTTTTAGAAATAAATTGAAAAAATTTTGAAACATGAATGATCAAAGTAGTAGAAAAAAAAAAACAAAAATTCATAATCCAAAATGAGAAAATAACCAAACATAAGGTCAAGATTTACCCTTATTTTTTAGATGAAAAGCATCAACGAGAAACCTAGTTGGTTATTATTATTATTTTCTTCTTTGTATTTACAAAACAAATAATAATAAGGCCTCATTTGGTCTGTGATTTTTTGGCAAATAATAATATCAAATTATACAAATTAATCAAATACCTTTTCTCTTACAACTATCTGTTCAATTAAAAAAAATATTTTAAACAAACTAACTTTTTTCACCACACAAAAAGTCCACAGAGAAAAGAAACCACTAAAAAAACTAAGTTGTCGCAGTTGTTGAGATAACCTAAAATAAGTCACATTTTTTATTTTTGATTTTTTTTTTGTCTTTAGTGATTTAAATTTTTTATTTTTTTGGTCCATCCTGTATGGAAAAATATAAAAAGTAAAAAAAAAATGGAAAAGCCAAAATAAGTAAAAAAAAATTTTACTAAATTTTTTCTTTTTTGAACTTTTTTTTTCAAAAATTTTAGATTTTTGAACTTGTTTATTCGTCTCGTTGAGTATGATCTAAAAGTGTGAAGTTCTTTGAATTTTTTTTTTAAAAAAAAGTTCACTAAAAATGAAAATAATCTTACAAAAAAGTCATAAAAATGATAAATTACACTTTGCTCCTTTTATGTTTAGCTACTTTCCCATTTTGACTGTTAAAATTTATTTTTTTATTTTTTTACTTTGGCCCTTCATATTCAATTTTTTTTTCTCAATTCACTCTTGAAGTTAATTTCTGTTAAAAATTACACAAAAAATGACAGATAAAAAGTCGCGTGGTACAAAAATATTTTATTATATATAACTTAAATTTCTAACATAAACTTAAACTCTAATATAATAATATGTACATTTTTTATATTACGTGACAGTTATTATGACATTTTTTTTATCTAATTTTGAACATAAATTAACTTTATGAGTAAATTGAGAAAAATTTGAAACATAAATAGTTAAAGTGGGAAAAAAATAAACTTTAATGCCAAAGTAAGAAAGTGAACAAACATAAGAGGGTAAAGTGTAATTTACCCAAAAAGGAAACCTCAAACACTTGGGCTCAATTTGTTTAAATTTTTATATTTTTTTCTTACAAAATTTTCATCTTAATCAAATGTTTGTAAGAAAATATATTTTCTTTTCTATTTCTTTTCTTTCACTTCATTTTCTTTCACTTTCACTGTCTACTAAATTTTCTTTTTAATCAAACGAAACCTTAAGAAAGTCTTAAAAACGTTCATAATTTTTTATTAATAGTTTTTTTTTTTCAAAACAATTCTCTAAAATTCAAAATGTCTTAAATGTTTATTAAAAATAAAATATTTAAAAAATAAAAATAATTGCAATTTTTTTTTTTTTTTTGGTTGTTATTGTTATGAATAGGAGAAACAGGAAAATAAAGAAAGTTTATTTTAACAAGAAAAAAAAAAAATTCAAGAAACGGGCCCAGAATTTAGACGGTTTATAGACTCACTAAAAAGATACTAAACTCTAATGTTGGATTTTAACCCACAATTTCAAATCACAAACTATAAGCAAAGTTTTTGAGTTTTTCTAAGAGTAGTTGTCTATATATATTTTTCAATCGGATAATCGTGAGACCCGTTACGGGTCTAATTTGAACCTTTTTTTATGTCACGATATTTAAATTATTTATGAAAAACATTAAGCCGATATAATATCAGAAAATTATCAATTGGTCCTACCCTTAAGACCCATTAAGTCCTATTAATAAATTTATCAAGTGATAAATTTATCAATCTCTTTGTTTTTATAAATAAATTTATAACGATAAATTTATCAGTCTCTTATTTTTATAGTGATGGAACTTGTAAATAAATAAGTTTAATTAATAGGACTAATTGATAAATACCTCATATAATATCTGTGCTTGTATTAGTTTAAAACATTTATTTACGATATTATTTACAAAATAATTATATTTTTTGGGAGACAAAGATAAACTATAAAAAAATGATCCAGACCCCCTTTCTCCCATCCCCTTTGACCCACTCTCTTTCTGATTGGCCAGTTTTTCTTTTTTCTTTTTCTTTTTTTCCTTCTCCAATCATCACAGGCCACATATGTGTGGGGTTGTGGGGTGGTGATTGGAAGGGATCTCAATCACATCTCTAAACTATATCCATATGATTTTTTTTACACAAATATCTATAAATCGTAATTTAAAAAATAAATTATTTGAAACATTAATTTGGAATCATAATGGACTTCACTGGTGCAAAGAACACCGTTCAATTCACTTTTTAGTAGAGAGAATCTACACTTCTATTTTTTCTTTTCTTTCTGTAAATAAAAACAACATAAATTGAACTGTTCACAGGTGTAAAGTTGCAACAGACTCGACTATAGTTCGAACTTGAATAAGATCAATTCATCAAGTTTAACTCATTTATTTTTATTTAAATTATATAATAAATATATTATTAATATATTAAATAATATAAATAATATTTTAAAAAATGCTACTAAGCCGAGCCAAATCAAACAAAAACTCATTTACTCATCGAACCGCGCCAAATGCCTTTTCTCTTACAACTATTTGTTCAATTAAAAAAATTATTTTAAACAAACTAACTTTTTTCACCACACAAAAAGTCCAGAGAAAAGAAACCACTAAAAAAACTAAGTTGTCGCAGTTGTTGAGATAACCTAAAATAAGTCACATTTTTTATTTTTGAATTTTTTTGTCTTTAGTGATTTAAATTTTTTATTTTTTTGGTCCATACTGTATGGAAAAATATAAAAAGTAAAAAAAAAATGGAAAAGCCAAAATAAGTAAAAACAATGTTTACTAATTTTTTTCTTTTTTGAACTTTTTTTTCAAAAATTTTATATTTTTGAATTTGTTTATTCGTCTCGTTGAGTATGATCTAAAAGTGTGAAGTCCTTTGAATTTTTTTTTTTAAAAAAAAGTTCACTAAAAATGAAAATAATCTTACAAAAAAGTCATAAAAATGATAAATTACACTTTGCCCCTTTTATGTTTAGCTACATTCCCACTTTGACTCTTAAAATTTATTTATTTATTTTTTTTACTTTGACCTTTCATATTCAATTTTTTTTCTCAATTTACTTAATTTCTGTTAAAAATTACACAAAAAATGACACATAAACAATCACGTGGTACAAAAATATTTTATTATATATAACTTAAATTTCTAACATAAACTTAAACTCCAATATAATAATATGTACATTTTTTATGACATTTTTTTGGTCTAATTTTGAATATAAATTAACTTTATGAGTAAACTGAGAAAAAATTAAAACATAAATAGTTAAAGTGGGAAAAAAAATAAACTTTAATGCCAAAGTAAGAAAGTGAACAAACATAAGAGGGCAGAGTGTAATTTACCCAAAAAGGAAACCTCAAACACTTGGGCTCAATTTGTTTAAATTTTTATATTTTTTTCTTACAAAATTTTCATCTTAATCAAATGTTTGGAAGAAAATATATTTTCTTTTCTATTTCTTTTCTTTCACTTCATTTTCTTTCACTTTCACTGTCTACTAAATTTTCTTTTTAATCAAACGGAACCTTAAGAAAGTCTTAAAAACGTTCATAATTTTTTATTAATAGTTTGTTTTTTCAAAACAATTCTCTAAAATTCAAAATGTCTTAAATGTTTATTAAAAATAAAATATTTAAAAAATAAAAATAATTGCAATATTTTTTTTTTTTTTGGTTGTTATTGTTATGAATAGGAGAAACAGGAAAATAAAGAAAGTTTATTTTAACAAGAAAAAAAAAATTCAAGAAACGGGCCCAGAATTTAGACGGTTTATAGACTCACTAAAAAGATACTAAACTCTAATGTTGGATTTTAACCCACAATTTTAAATCACAAACTAATAATACACAATCTATAAGCAAAATTTTTGAGTTTTTCTAAGAGTAGTTGTCTATATATATTTTTCAATCGGTTAATCGTGGAACCGTTACAGGTCTAATTTGAACCTTTTTTTATGTCACGATATTTAAATTATTTATGAAAAATATTAAGTCAATATAATATCAGAAAATTATCAATAGGTCCTACTCTTAAGACCCATTAAGTTCTATTGATAAATTTATCAAGTGATAAATTTATCAATATCTTTGTTTTTATGAATAAATTTATAGCGATAAATTTATCAGTCTCTTATTTTTATAGTAATGGAACTTGTAAATAAATAAGTTTAATTAATATGACTAATTGATAAATGCCTCATATAATAACTGTGCTTGTATTAGTTTAAAACATTTATTTACGATATTATTTACAAAATAAACTATATATTTTTTGGGAGACAAAGATAAACTATATCCATATGAATTTTTTTACACAAATATCTATAAATCGTAATTTAAAAAATAAATTATTTGAAACATTAATTTGGAATCATAATGGACTTCACTGGTGCAAAGAACACCGTTCAATTCACTTTTTAGTAGAGAGAATCTACACTTTTATTTTTTCTTTTCTTTCTGTAAATAAAAACAACATAAATTGAACTGTTCACAGGTGTAAGATCAACATAAATAAAAACAACATAAATTGCAACAGACTGGACTATAGTTCGAACTTGAATAAGATCAATTCATCAAGTTTAATTCATTTATTTTTATTTAAATTATATAATAAATATATTATTAATATATTAAATAATATAAATAATATTTTAAAAAATGCTACTAAGCCGAGCCAAATCAAACACAAACTCATTTACTCATCGAACCGCGCTTGAGCTTCATAATAAATTCGATAAGCTCCAATTTTTCCACCCAAACACCCCCCAAATCACTAGAATTAAAACATACATAACTTATTAGAGAGAGAGAGAGAGAGAGAGAGAGATGAGGAATGACCTTAACTCTCTCCATGTTGAAGGCCTGGCTTGTAATCCTCCTATGAACAGCCCAGGTGTCACCGGTCAAGCCAACAAGTCCTTGTCCAAAGAGCAGCTTGGACAAAGGGTTGAACTCAAGCTTCTCAAAGGACCCACTCTTATTCAGCAACACCTCCTTAATCATCTCTGGTTCGGCTATAGCCAACCGAGGCTTCGGTCCAAACCAGTACAGAAATGTCTTCCCATAAACCCTTGACCAGTTGTAGTAGTCCGGAATCGCCCTCTGAACAATGTCATGGTTGAAAGTTATCGGCCTCGATTCGGCTTCGGCAATCATGCGCCGACTGATCTCGGCCGAGTTTCCGAAGATCGGACGGTAGCTAGGCCCCCCTATGCCTTGCTTCCTGAAGTGTCGTTGAAACTTCAATGGAACCCATATGATTGAGTGTATGAATTTTATTAAGAGGACTGAGATGAGGAATAGCAACATCCTCATCAGAAGTAGAATAGCCATACACTTCAAGCTGTGTGTGTGTGTGAGAGAGAGAGAGAGAGAGAGAGAGAGAGAGAGGTGGTTTTGGAAGGATAGCAGTAGAGGAATTGGAATACAAATCTTGGATGTGTCCCCTGAATCAAGATCCTCTTCTTCTTGAGTTGTCTCCTTTACTCTCTACTTGTAGAGCTAGTGGGTTTCCTTTGGGCTCAATTTCGATAATCTGGACCGTTCATATTTTAAGATTTATTGAGTATATCATATTTGTAAAAAATTAAGTTAATCAGATATCAAAAATTACATGTTCAAATTATCAAACTAAAAATTATTTTTTAAAAAAAATTTAATAAATAATTTTTCGAACATATATTTTTTGATATCCGATCAATTCGATTTTTTACAGGTATGATATACTTAATAAATCTTAAAATATGAACAGTTTAAATCATTGAAATTGGACAAAAAAATAGGTCCAATAGCCTCTGTTTGGGAAGTGGGTTGGCTTTTTGACTTTTTTGTCTTTTTTTGACTATATGAGCCTAGGCTCAAAAGCTTAGTTTGAGAAGGGTTTTTGATTTTTTGACTTTTTTGATTTTTTTGTGAAAGAAAAGTGTAATAATTATGGGATTGAATGAGATGTTTTATTTGTTGTGGCTCATGAACTTATTCTGTCTTTTATCGCTCATTGAGCCAAAAAAATCCAATAAACCCGTGCCAAACCAACCCTAACTCTGCAAATAAAAGTGAAGGAGACCATTTAAGAAGAGGATCTTGATTCCTGTCCCCTGCCCCATGCATTTTACTGGGCCACGTGATCAGTATTGTTGACATGATGAAATCATTAATGCTGTGTATAGTTGAGGGATTTGAAGAGAGATTTGAAAAGAAAAATGAAAAAGATAGATAAAATGTGAAAAAAATATGTCTATATTTTACATAATTTTACATACTTTTTTTTTTCTTTTCAAATTCCTTCCCAAATTCCCTAACCAAACACAACGTAAGTCTGCGTGTGAGAAGATGGGTTAGATTGAGTTTTGAGCTATTTTAAAAGTTGTTTGGATTATTTATTTAAGTGTATTTTTTAATTATTTAATTAAAAAAGTTAGAAAAAAAAAAGTTGAATATTTAGATTAATTTTTTAATTTTTTATTAAAAAATTGTATTATAATATTATAAGAAATATGCAAATGACCTGTTTGGCCGTACATAATTATTTCGTTGTGACTCTGCGTCGCGTGAAGCGCCAGTACAAGATAGGTAAAATGTGAAAAAAATATGTCTATATTTTACATAATTTTACATACTTTTTTTTTCTTTTTAAATTCCTTCCCAAATTCCCTAACCAAACCAACGTAAGTCTCCGTGTGAGAAGATGGGTTAGATTGAGTTTTGAGCTATTTTAAAAGTTGTTTGGATTATTTATTTAAGTGTATTTTTTAATTATTTAATTAAAAAAGTTAGAAAAAAAAAAGTTGAATATTTAGATTAATTTTTTAATTTTTTATTAAAAAATTGTATTATAATATTATAAGAAATATGCAAATGACCTGTTTGGCCGTACATAATTATTTCGTTGTGACTCTGCGTCGCGTGAAGCGCCAGTACGGCTTGTGCATGCAATAATAGCCCTGTTTAGTAGAACCGTGGGAAAGTGCTTATAGCTTATGCCTAAACAGCTTATAGTTTATAACTTTCAGCTTAAGCTGATTTCCAGCTTATTCTTAAAGTATCTCCTGCCCCACTCAAAGAATAAGCTGATTTCTGACTTCCACAAAACTATAAGTTATAAGCTATAAGCTAAACCAAACACATCAAAATAACTTAAATTAAGCTGAAAGCTGAAATAAGCTGTAAATAATTTCTGCCAAACAGACACAATGTGTTATCAACTATTATTTATTTTTTATGTTTTTTTGTAGAGGTTGCGAGGAAAGGACAAAAACAGGGGCATTTCAGTATTTTTGACCTCTGACCAGTGTTGTTGTTTTCCGCAGTGTTGTTGTTTTCTGTTAAATTTTTTTTTTGGGTAGTATAAACTTTTTGAATTTGGTAATGATTTTTTTAATCTTTTTTAGGTTTATTCAAACACTTACTTAGGTCTTGTTTGCGAACATATTTTTTTAGTAGTTTTTTAGTTTTTTAGTTAAAATGTGATATAAAAAAAATTAGTATGTTTAGAATGATTTTTTGATTTTTTATGAAAAGATGTGCAAAAAGTAAAGAAAAAATAGAATCTTTGATTTTTTGATATGAGTTGTTGATTTTTTGATTTTTTTTGTAACTTTTTGATTTTTTAGCTAAAAAATGCACTTGTCGAACGAGACCTTAGTTATAAAAAAATAAAATAAGCTTTTTAGTTGAATAAGATAAAATATCATATTTAATCTATAGTCATTATATTTTTTTCTCATAAAAAGTCAAAAAGTTCTTCCTAAATGAGACTTTTAAGTCCCAAGTTAAAATAGTTAAAAAAGCAGCCTACTTCCAAATGAACTCTAAGTAAAGTTTTGAAAAGTTGATAAAAAATTGAATTTTTAACTTTTTAAATTTATTTTATTTTATTTTTTGAATAAAAATATTTGAGAAGTAATAAGTAAAAAGTTAAAAACTAACCCTTTTTTTTTTTTTTTTTTTTTTTTGCCTTTTTTTTTTATTTACCCAAATTTAAAAATAATGATGTACAATCAGGAAGGCTACAAATTTTGAGAGAGAGGAGTGTGAGGTGTGAATCGTATTATTTTAAGTGAAATTGAGAGGTGAAATTGAAATGACAACATAAATAAATAAATAAATAACACCACTCTAATAATTAGTTTGCGAATCCCATCTCCATGTTGGGAATATGCTAATCTCACATTTTGGTGATGAGTAATTCTATAAAAGTTTTAGTCCCTTCTGTGTATTTTTTAAACTAAAATCAGATTTGGGTTTGGCTGAGCTTTTGGATTCGGTGAATTCATTTTGAAATCAATTTGTGTGATTCGAATCATTTCATTTTTTTGTTTTTTAAATATAATATTTATGTAAAAAGTTAAGATGATTTGATATCGGTAGCTATTAAGGTTGACCTTTTGCATAGGCCTACCAGGCCATGACTTAGGACCTTTCCAAATAGACCCAAAAAATGAGTCACTCCTATTATAGTTTAGTGTAATATATTAGGTATGTTTTAAGTTTAAATTTTTTTTTAAAATGTCCAAATTAACTTAAAATAAATTGACCCATTAAAAAATCAAAATGTCATTAAAAAATTAAAAGGCCCATTCAAAATTAAAAGGGCACATTCTGTCTCCTTATTTAATTCTTAATCCTAATTCTTAATTCAATTTTTTCAAAAATTTAAGAGAAGCTGCACAATAAAACACTAATGAATTTCTCAAGAATTCAAATTAGCAGCACAACATAGGTAGGTTTTTTTTCTATTCAATTAATTAAATATTTACCTTGTCTTTTGTTCAATTGCTATTATAATATTGGTATTTATACAAATCTACATCATCAAGAAGAATTAATCTTTTACTATATATGCTAAATTTTTCGTTGAATGAAAAAAATGTGAAAGGTCCCAAATAATATAGTGATATTTATTAATTGATTATTGGCTTTGGGCATCAAAAATCTCAGGGCTAGGCCTAGTAGCTATACATATGAATCATATTTTTAAAAAAAAATAAATAAATAAATGAAAAATATAATTTTAAAAATGATCATCCAAATTTTATAATACAAATTTGATTTAAACATATAGTTATCGTTGTCCGATTATCTTTATTTTTTATATAAAATCCTAAAATATAAACAGTTCGAATTATCAAAATAAAACATGCGTTGCATTCTATGAGCCTCTTAAATTCTCTCCTATTGATATGTAAATATGAGAGACGCTACCCCCATAAGTTTTATATGCTTATCCTGTCCTTGGGCTACCTGAAATCTCCAGGTTTATATAACTAGTAACCCCTTAATTGAAACTAAAATAGGAATAAAACAAAATTATAAAAAGAGTAAATCATACATTTTATTAATCAATTTTCACTTAAATTTTATTTTGATTGTTCGTATTCTAATTGTAATAAGTATAAAACCCATGAATAGTTTTAAATAGTTGTTTAAAAATTTATTTTGAAATTAAATAGAAAGAACCAAAAAATTGGTTAAGATCATGCAAGTTTTAATATTTCCAACTTTTTGTGCTTGCGTGCTATCATTAATATATTTTTTAAGTATTATACAACAAATGCATATTCATAATTTAATTGATAAATAAGTTTGTATAAATTAAAAAAATTGTAATTACAATTTTTATATAACATAATTACATCTCGTCTATAAAATTTTGTAATTACAATGTCACAAGAAACATAACTACTTTATATTCTTTTTATTGCTATTATTAATTTTTTTTTCTCTCTCTCTCTTCCACCCTTTATCTATCACTATTTTTTTTTTTTGAGAAATAAAAAAAAATTAAAAACTCAAGATTTGACTCTTGCAATAAAATAAATTGTGAATTTTTAATTTTATTAATTTAAACCTTAATTTTTTAATTTATTTTCAATTTAAATCATTCACCTATTTTCATTAAGTAAAACTGGAGGAAAAAAATAATATTTTAATTATTAAATTCAATATAAATATAAAATATCTAAAATGTTATTTTCGGATGACTTTAAAAATATTTAAGCTTTTATATATTGTTTGGTTGTGGTGGTAGATAGGGATGTAATTTTGGCTCGGCTCGGCCCACGGACCAGAAAACAAGGCTCAGGCCCAAGCCTAGGCCCAGGGATATTCAGGCTTTGGGTGGGCCAATGGGCCAGGCCCCTAGGCTCAGGCTTTAGGCGGGCTTAAACAATTTTTTTTTATTTTTTTCACCAAAATTTTATTATTTTTCATTAAAAATAACATTGGGCATTGAGTGGGCCGGGCGGGCCGGGCCTCGGGTTGGGCTTTTGTCGGGCCTTTGAGCGGGCCAATGGGTCGGGCCAAGCAGGCGGGGCCAATGGGCCGTGCCGGGCTTCAAAACAATGGCCCAGGCGCTAGGCCAAGGCCTCGAGCTAGGCTTCGGCTCGGCCTTAACGGGTCGGGTCCACCTCGGGTCGTGGGTGGGCTTCGGGTTGCCTGCGAGCCACGGGCCAAAATTATACCCCTAGTGGTAAATTTGAAATCTATAAGGA